GCTTATGGGTGACGGATTGCAAAAGCCTTGAAGAACATCTCATCGCACCGATCATGGGTAAGAAAGAAGATAGGCGCTTGAATATTGGTTTGAGTAGTTTGAGACAAGATACGTGGACTAATGGAACGGAAGCAAGAGATATTTTACATCCACGCACATTTTTTGATAAGGTGCGATGGATCGATATAAGCATAAGGGCTGTTGATTGTCTGGCGAAGAGAATCTCTACATAATTCCTTGTTGAGATCTTACGTGCAAGTTCGTATGGCGTAACTCCAGACCCAGAGTCTACCTTGAAGAAGGTCAAGAAGCAACTGGCGAGGACCAGGATGAAAGCAATCCCATCGGGGAAATGAGTGGCTGAGCCCCGACTGCCTTTGACTTAAGTGGCCCCAACAGGGGGATACTCCTTTTACTCCCCCTAGAGGCTTACTGAGACCAGCGGTACTGCGCGGTCGCCGGCTAGCTCGGGATAGCGTTTCACGGGCGTGAGATGGTGCGTGTGTCACGCGTGTATATGCGCCACTCGCTGCCGTTTGACCTCTGGGGGCCCTCTGTTGCCATTGCGCTAAAACACACCGTAATCACAATTATGTTGCAGCTCCTGCGAGTGCTTATGTTTTTTCATGATGTGGATGGTGTGGATGATTTTTATGCTAATGATGACGATGGTGATCATGTGGAAGATGATTATGATGATGCAGATGCTGATTATGACAAGGACGATTAGGATGCTGCCCATGATGATGCGGATGGTTGATGATGCTGCTGATGGGGATGATGATGATGGTGGTGACGAGGGTGAACACGACGACGATGATGATGACGATGGTGATGGTGATGACGATGATGGTGCTGATGATGATGCGGATGATGCTGATGATGGCGACGATGCTGATGGTGATGAGTATGGTGATGATGATGGTGATGGTAATTTTCATGCTTCTGCGGGTTATAGTGATGGTGGTGATGATGATGCTGGTCATGATGATGCTGATGACGACGACGAAGCTGATGACAATGGTGATGACGATGATGGTGGTGATAATGATGACGCCAGTGATCGTGATGGTGATGATGATGATACGGGTGGGGCTGATGTTGATGATGGTCATGATGATGATGGTGGTGGTGATGGTGACGATGATGATGGTGGTGGCGGTGGTGGTGATGATGACGACGATGATGACGATGCTGTTCATGATGTTGATCATGGTGCTGATGGGGATGATCATGAGGATGGTCATGCGGATGAGGAAGTGGATGATGACGAGGGTGATGGTGATGATGATGGTTACGATGCGGATGGTGCTGTTTATACAGATGATGATGACGATACTGATGTTGATGATGATAGTGATGATGATGGTATGATGGTGATGGTGATGGTTATGATGATGCTGATGGTGGTGATGGTGCTGATTCGGATGATGCTACAGATGATGATGTTTGTGGTGGTTTTGATGATGGTGCTGATGACAATGATGAGGATGCTGGTGCTGACGATGCTGGTGATGATGATGATGATGATGATGATGCTGATGAATATGATGATGATGATGATGATGATGATGATGATGATGATGATGATGATGATGATGATGATGATGATGATGATGATGATGATGATGATGATGATGATGATGATGATGATGACGACGACGACGGCAATGATGGGGAGGGGGAAACGGAGGAGGAGGAGGAGGAGGAGGAAGAGGAGGAGGCGGAGGAGGAGGAGGAGGAACAGGAGGAGAAGGAGGAGGAGGGGGACGAGGAGGAGCAGGAGGAGGAGGAGGAGGAGGACGAACACATCGGGGCGATTGCCCGCGGCTGTATGCCGACGTTACCGTCTGCTACAGCGTGCCCAGGGACGCGCAGTTCCCAGCGGCGACCGCGGAGGGCGACGGCGCCGTCAACGCCCAAACGGAGGCGGACAGGCGGCGCCGCTACGTCGGGCACCAGGCGCCTTGGCCCGCCCTCCCGTTAGCGATGGAGACAAGCGGGCGCCACAGGAAGGCAGCGCTTCGATTCCTGCGCTCGCCCGGGACCAGGCGCAGCAGCTCGGCGACGGCCTGGCGGCGGAGGCGGCGGCCAGCGCGGTGACGGCGCGGTCGGGCGCGGAATTCAGCGTCGCCCTTCACCGCGCGACTGCCAGGCAGCTGCGGTCATCCCTCCGGTACGACCGCATGGAGGCCGCGGTCGGCTTGGCCGAAGGGCTCGCTGGCTAGACGCGCTGGCCGGGCGCGGCGGAGGAGCTGTCCGCCGTCTACCTGCAGCCGGGCTACCGGCTCGTCGCGGCACCCCAGGTGCTCAGTGGTGTGTGCGTGTAGGTGTTAGGGCAGGTAGACATTCTTAATGCTTGCAACAGGAGGAGGAGGAGGAGGAGGAGGAGGAGGAGGAGGAGGAGGAGGAGGAGGAGGAGGAGGAGGGGAGGAGGAGGAGGGAGGAGGGGAGGAGGAGGAGGAGGAGGAGGAGGGGGACGAGGAGGAGGAGGAGGAGGACGAACACATCGGGGCGATTGCCCGCGGCTGTATGCCGACGTTACCGCCAGCTACAGCGTGCCCAGGGACGCGCAGTTCCCAGCGGCGGCCGCGGAGGGCGACGGCGCCGTCAACGCCCAAACGGAGGCGGACACGCGGCGCCGCTACGTCGGGCACCAGGCGCCTTGGCCCGCCCTCCCGTTAGCGATGGAGACAGGCGGGCGCCACAGGAAGGCAACGCTTCGATTCCTGCGCTCGCCCGGGACCAGGCGCAGCAACTCGGCGACGGCCTGGCGGCGGAGGCGGCGGCCAGCGCGGTGACGGCGCGGTCGGGCGCGGAATTCAGCGTCGCCCTTCACCGCGCGACTGCCAGGCAGCTGCGGTCATCCCTCCGGTACGACCGCATGGAGGCCGCGGTCGGGTTGGCCGAAGGGCTCGCTGGCTAGACGCGCTGGCCGGGCGCGGCGGAGGAGCTGTCCGCCGTCTACCTGCAGCCGGGTTACCGGCTCGTCGCGGCACCCCAGGTGCTCAGTGGTGTGTGCGTGTAGGTGTTAGTGCAGGTAGACTTTCTTAATGCTTGCAGCAGGAGGAGGAGGAGGAGGAGGAGGAGGAGGAGGAGGAGGAGGAGGAGGAGGAGGAGGAAAAGGAGGAGGAGGGCCAGACTAAACCCAGAAATCGTCAACGATGCTGCAATGCACCCTTCCTTCCCGAGCTCCCTCCCACGAGTCCATACAGGCCTTCCTATTCACAGCCTGCGGGTGGCGCCCCGTTGAAATAAAAACACCCTGCAGGGCTGCCGTCTCGGCGAGGGTTCCGTGTTGAAAGGATGTGCTTTGCTTTATCGAATGCTGAGAAATGCGAACCTATAGGATCAAATCGTTCATCGAGGTGTCCAGTGCGAACCCCAGTCTGAAAAACATCCGCCCCCTTCCGTGGAAGTGTTGCACACATTTACACATTTGCCACTGACATTGGAAAATGTCTGCAGCGAAAACTCCAGTTTGATATGAACACCTTCCAGGGGTGCAGTTGTGACATGTTTGAAGTTTCCATGTTGAAGCTTAAGAAATCTCAGTTGGGAACCCCACTTTGTACATGATTTCGTTAATCTTTGTGGCTGATACAACCGTTGTGAAGACGAATGCGCGCGTCGCTTGCAACGAAAACCGCGTTTTACAGCGGGCCGCCCTCCATGCTAGTAGATATTGTAAGCTTTGAGGACGATTGCCCGCGGGGCCCAGGCGAGAACCGCGTTTTGATGTTGAAGACGACCCGCCCTTCATCCTTGAATTTTCTGGAAACGTTCGAGGATAATGTGCGGGGGGCTGAGGGCAGAGGCGCATGTTGAAATCCACGCGCCCTCCATGTTTGAGGGGTTGGGAGTTTTTAACATCAGGATGTTTTTCCAACAGGGAGTCTCTTTCACGCAGCCTGGCCTATGGACGCGTCTAATGGTGCGACAGGGGTTCGGGGCTAATTATTTGCCAAACGTGGGATCAAGCGAGGAGTGGGGAGGAAGGGGAGGAAAAACAGGCCACAGTTATCCCCAAATGAAGGAATGATGCTGTAATGCACTTCTCCTGTCCCGACTCCACCGTTGCGGGAAGCGGCCCCGCTAAAAGAAGAGCACCCCCTAAGCCAGGGGCCCTTTTCGAATAGGGCCTGACTTTCATCCTTGCAAGCGTTGCGCATGTCCAAAATTCGGATCGTAAGATTGAAGGAAGTCTTGAGCGATAGCCCCATTTAAACATATGGGTCCTCGATTCGTTTTTTGATTCTTATTTGTTTGTGGAATTTGTGTTTTCGCTTGGAATCATGTGGGGAGTCCCGCGAGTCTTGAGCGCGATATTCATCTTGAAACAGGTGACGAACGCCCACCATCCGTGTAGTTTTTGTTTTTTCAAGCGAAGGCGCGCGGCGGAAAAAGGTGAGAGTCCCGTCTCGAAAAGGACCCCCTTCAATCCGTAGAGTTCTTCAAAACTCCGATCTTCAGGATCACAGACGGTGAGGGAGTCTCGGTTGAAACGCCCGTGGTCGCCCTGCTGACACGCCTGGTGGTGCGGCCGGGGGGAATTGTGTGTGCAAGAATGGAAGGAGGAACGAAAAACGAGGAGCAAAGAGCGAGGAGGACCCTGATATCCGACGTTGCGAACAAGTTGCAACATCGCGAGAAATCGTTACCGCAGCCCTGGATTCCATATCCCTGCAACATTTTTCGAGCCAGACCGATCTCTTGTGGCCCCGGGGGCCCCGAACTGAGCAAGAACATCCTGTTTCGTCAATTATTGGGGAGGCGATAGATCAGAGGGGGAAAACAAGTGCGGGCCCTGAGGCCCCCATTGGGCCTTCAAGGGCCCCGTCAGGGGTTCAAAAAGTATCTTTTCTGCAGCCTTCCCTGCCCCGCCCATTTATCGCCTCCCATTACGCGTTGCCAGCCGATGTGGCAGAATTGCATCGACGGGGCAAAGCTAAGGAAGGCTGGCGGGACCCGCCGTTGCGGCGGTGGGGGGCCCCTCCGAGGGACGTCCCGCGGCGCCTGTGCCTGCGCTGGGGCATCCTGGGGGCGGTCGTGGGCCTCTCTGCGGCCGTCGCCCTCTCGCTCTACGTGTGGGCGGGGGTCTCGGAGGCCGACCTGCATGGACGAGGTGGAGGAGGAGGATGGGGGAGGAGGAGAGGAAGAAGAAGAGGAGGAGGAGGAGGCGGACGAGGAGGAGGAACCAGTTTCCAATGTTGCAGCTCTGCTTCTTGCTGCTTACTGTTCCTCGTTGATGGACCGCGCGAGGGGGGGGAGGCCCAAACGGGCAGGTTAAGCACGCCCTGAGCGTGTGCTCTGAATTGATGGGGTGGGTAAAAATTGACACCCCTCACGCAGATCGGCGGGGTCAGGGTCCAAAAACACAAGGGATTTGCTACGTTTCTGAAATTAGCTGGCACCCCTCACGCATAGGGCACTCGAGATTTGCGACACTCGAAGGGCCTTGTGGGACTTGTGGAACCTGTCAGACTGATGGGACCTGTGGGACCTGTGGGGCGACCGGCGACCTGCGACACTTGTGGGTCCTGCACGACCTGTGGGGCATGGGGTACTTGCGAGACCTGCGAGACCTCTGGGATCCAGAAAAGTGGCTCATGCTTGGGCGGGAGCGCCTTTTTAAACAACAGGAGCACAGCGCCGATCCGAACACGAGGCCCACGTTGCGGCGAGAGCACCATGGTTGAAAAACTGTAAACGATCGGCTCTGTAAAACAGACCATATGACAGTAATTTCGCGCAAATCTTGCACGTGAAAAACACGACGCAGAGGGATCGAATACATATATGACGACAGACAATATCGCTCGCCCAAGATATGGAAACAACAACCAGTACGCGGATGGGGGGGCGAACATTCTCTGCACACTCTCGGGGGGCGGACACTCTCTGCACGCTCTCTTGTGTGTAAGTGGGGAGGAGGAGGAGGAGGAGGAGGAGGAGGAGGAGGAGGAGGAGGAGGAGGAGGAGGAGGAGGAGGAGGAGGTTGGGAGACGGCCGCAGGAATCCTCGATCACGCCCCCGCCCGCCGCCCACGCGGCGCAGCTGTGGCAGACGTCGCCCGGGGCCCAGCCCGAGCACATCGCCCAGCGCCCGGACGTGGAGTTCGGGGCCGACTTCGACTTCGACGGCCCCACCGTCAAAGTCTCCGACGTGACGGACCAGGTGCTCAGAGGAGGAAAAGGTACCCATACCACCACCCTCGCCCCGTTTTCGGTTTTCCGGACCTCTTCGGATGCCCTCGCCGCCACCATTGGATTTGCTTCGAGTTTCTGGTCAGAGCGCACCCTTGGATAGGTATTAGCGGTGTCGGTACCTTTTGGTTTCCCCAGGGTGCGCGACCTTCGGTAGCAAATCATTGGAGCCTTGGAAATCTTCGTAACTCCGGCCTTAGGATGCATCAGCGTCGGTTAGCTTCTGGTGGTCGATGTGACAGCGCCTGTTGAGCGTCGATTAGCGTCTGTTAGCACCGATTCACGCGGGCCAGCAAGATGGTATGGGAGGTCTCCATGAGTTTTGTCGCAGAAGGTGCGCGAGGTGAAAAGTTCAGGCCTCCTTTTTGGGGGGGCCTCCTGGGGGGGGCCTTCTTTTGGTCCTCACGGGGGGCCTCCGTAGCGAAGGCAGTAGGCAGCTCGGACAGTTGGTGGGGATGGATCGTGTGAGGGGTCTGAAGGTTGTTTTTGAGCGGAGTTAGGGTGAAGCCCCTATGGGTCAGTAGCATGAGCGCGAAGATAATTGCGCCTCGCGCTTCGCGGTCCAGGTCGCAGAGCCATCCTTTCCAAGGGGGCGAAGATAGCCGCGTCAGGGTCTCCAGCGTGAGAGATGACAGACTTGCCCACAATCAGCTCTTTCATGTAGTCTTTTTTTTGTCCTGATAACGCACCCTAGTTGTCCAGGGCGGTCTCAACACCTTGTCGTCGACCCCGGCGGCGCACCCAGGGAGATCCGCGCCCGGGGTCGAGGTGTTGAGAACGCCTCGGCCTGTCCGAGTGGCCTGTGGTGCCAGCCGGGTCTACCTCCCTGGGCTGCCTGTGTGCAACCCTAGGCCTCGCCAGTGCGACTGCCAGCCGCGCTGAAAGCTGCCTGCGGAAGCTGCAATAGTTCAAGCTGCCCGCGTGAGGCCACGCGTAGAAGCCCCTCGTGTTCACACAGCCTGCGCAGTAGGCGGCCTGTAAGGGACGCCGCGTAAGTTCGCCGTGCCCTCGTAAGTGAGTCTCTTCTTTCTTCGCCGCTGAGGTATTGAAGGGCTTCGGCGGAGCGTTCACGGAGGCGAGCGCGGTCGTTTTCCAGAAACTCAACGCAGATCAGCAGCAGTCGGTGCTGAACGACTACTTCGGGCCAGAGGGGCTCGGGTACACCCTTGGACGGGTGCACATCAACAGCTGCGACTTCTCGACAGAGAACTACGCGTTCCATGAGAAGGACGGCGAGTTCGACCTCGCGTCGTTCGACATGAGCGTCGGGCGCGACGCGAAGGCCCTTATACCATTCATCAAGGCCGCCCAGGATGTGATCACGCCGCAGGGCCGTTCCCTGAGACTGCTCGCCACGCCTTGGAGCCCGCCTGCTTGGATGAAAGAGAACAAGATGATGGATCACTCCAGCAGTCCTTGTTTGCGCAAAGAAGCGGAAGTCCACGCTGCCTGGGCGAAGTATTTCGTGAAGTGGATCACCGCCTACAAGGACCAGGGAGTGCCGATCTGGGCTGTCACGATCCAGAACGAGCCAGAGAACAATGCCTCTTGGGAGGCGTGCCTCCTCAATTCTAGACGCTTCGCGAATCTCCGACAGCCCATCCAGAAACGATGTCCAGGCGAGTTGATGTGGTCAGGGAAGTGCGGGAGCAAAGAGGGGGACGGCCGAACCATGCGAAGGAGGGAGGAGGAGAAGGAGGAGGCTGGATGGATGGATGAGGGGGTGGGGAGACGGAAGATGAATCGGATGATGATGATGATGACGATGCTGATGATGATGATGATGATGATGATGATGATGATGATGATGATGATGATGATGATGAGGATGATGAGGATGATGATGATTATGATGCTGATCATGATGATGCTGATGCTGATGCTGATGCTGATGCTGATGATGTTGCTGCTGATGATGATGATGATGCTGATGCTGATGCTGCTGCTGCTGATGATGATCATGATGATGATGCTGATGATGCTGAGGATGAGGATGATGATGATGCTGCTGCTGCTGATGCTGATGCTGATGCTGATGCTGCTGATGGTGATGCTGATGATGCTGCTGCTGCTGATGATGATGATGATGATGATGCTGGTGCTGATGCTGCTGATGATGATCATGATGCTGATGCTGACGATGATGATGATGATGATGATGCTGTTGCTGCTGCTGATGATGCTGATGATGATGATGACGATGCTGATGATGATGCTGATGATGATGATGCCGATGATGATGATGATGATGATGATGATGCTAATGCTGATGTTGATGCTGATTATGATGATGCTGATGATGCTGCTGCTGATGATGATGATGATGATGATGATGATGAAGAATAATCTGATATGATGATGATGATGACTGATGCTGATGCTGCTGATGATGAAGATGATGATGGTGATGATGATGATGATGATGATGATGATGATGATGATGATGATGATGATGATGATGCTGATGGTGGTGGTGGTGGTGATGATGATGATGATGATGATGATGATGATGACGATGGTGGTGGTGGTGGGGTGATGATGATGATGATGATGATGATGATGATGATGATGATGATGATGATGATGATGAGGATGATGATGATGATGATGATGATGATGATGAGGATGATGATGAGGATGATGATGAGGATGAGGATGATGACGAGGAGGAGGAGGAGGAGGAGGAGGAGGAGGAGGAGGAGGAGGAGGAGGAGGAGGAGAGGAGGAGGAGGATGAGGAGATGAGGAGGAGTAGGAGTAGAAGGAATAATGAGCAGGAGGAGAGGAGGAGGAGGAGGAGGAGGAGGGAGGAGGAGGAGGAGGAGGAAGAGGAGGGCAAGCAAAAGGACCAGAGGTCTCTTGGATGCCTCTCGGAGCTTCTTGGGATATCTCTTGGCCGCATCTTGGTGGTCTCTTGGGACGTCTTTCGGGTCTGTTGGCGGTCCTGGGGGGCTCTTGGGCGTCTTGGGTGCCTCGGGGGGGCCTCTTGGGGCCGCTTGGGGTCCTCTTGGGGGCCTCCTGGGGGCCTCTTGGGGGCCTCCTGGGGGCCTCTTGGGGGCCGTTTGGGGCCATCTTGGGGCCTCTTGGGGCCTCCTGAGCGCTTCTTGGGGCATCTAGGAGGAGATCGAACAAAGAAGGGGATGGTCGCAATTCGCGTTCCCTCCCCAAGAGGCCAGAATTGGGCCGAAACCTTAGTAAAATCATTCATTCTGGCTTCCTCGTCGAGGCTGTTCTGTACGCCCTGACACCTCGCGGAACCCCCCGTCCAGGTCCAGGGGAGGGGGTATGGGGGCAGGGGTTAACCCGTCCCCGGAAGGGGAAGAAGGGAGGTGGAAGAGGAAACTCCCCTTACCACCTTCGCCCAGAGGGCTGGTGGGATTCCTCGGAGGAGGCCGACTTCCTGGGGGCGTACCTGGGCCCCGCCATGAGCTCTGAGCACCCGAACGTCTCGATCTTCGTGTACGACCACAACAAGGACCACGTCGCCCAGTGGGCGAATGTCATCAGCGAGGACAAGGATCGGACGCGGCTGGGACGAGGATAAAAATCCGTCACAGAGCGTTCTGGAGCGCGCTCGGAGCGTCTCGGAACGCCCTGAAAAGGCCGCGACGCCGAAGACATCCTCCAGAGCCGCTGGATCTCAGAGATTCTTGATTGTAATGGCCTCCTGCCAGTGCTGCCGATCCAGGGGGCTCCAGATTCGGTGATCATCGCGGCTGTGTGGCCTCCTCCTTCCCCGATTCTTCCGGTCCTCTTTCTTCTCCTTAGTTCTCGTTATCCTCTGCCTCCCGTTGACCCCTTTGCCTCGCGTGCTCGCTCCCCTCTCAGTCCTCGCTCGTCCTCGTTCCCGCTGGGGGGGTTGCCTGGAGAGGTTCCGGGGGGAGTCTGGGGAGGGTTCCGAGGGGAGGGTCCTGGGGGCGGTAGCGGCTAGATCTGAGGGGGTCCCTGGGACCCCCCGAAAGATCTTGGGGATGCGCAAATCATTAAGAAAACGCCAGATGGGGGACCGCACCCCCTCCCTCCCCCCCTTTCCCGGACCCCCCGAAACATCGTGGGGATGCGCAAATCAGTGAGAAATCGCCAGATGGGGGACCCGCCCTTTCCCCCCCCCTCCCCCCCTTCCGCAGCAGAGCCACCCCGGCGACCCCCCCAAGCAGAGTTGAAGCTCTTGCTCAGGCTCAGAGCTGAAGCTCTTGCTGAGGCTGCTTGTAGTTCACACGCCAGATCGGCGGATTAATCCCTACCCGAATTTATTCTCGTCCTGGCTTCGTCTTAAAGGATGCCGCCAAGTACGCCACTGGCGTCGCTTACCATTGGCACCCAGTGGCGCGCAAAGGGCGGGGGCGTCGGGCGAGGGATATCCTTAGAAGGGCCGCCGGCCAACGACGGCGACGGCGGCGGCGGCGAAGACGACGACGACGACGTCGACCGGCGACGACGACGACGACCACAACTACAATGACGACGACGACGACGACGACGAAGACGGCTGCGGTTGCTGCGGCGACGGCGGTGGCGGCGGCGACGACGACGACGACAAAGATGGCTGCGGCTGCGGCGGCGGCGACGACGACGACGATGACGACGGTGGCGGCTCCGACGACGACGACAACAACGACGACGACAAACGGCGACGATTACGACGGTGGCGGCTCCGACGACGACGACGGCGGCGGCGGTGGCGGCCACGACGTCGACGACGCCAGTGGCGACGGCGGTGACGACCAGGGCGGCGACAGCAGCGGCGGATGACGACGACGACGACGACGACGACGACGACGACGACGACGGCGGCGACGACGACGACGACCAGGACGGCGACGGCGGCGCCGACGATGACGAACGACGACGACGGCGACGGCGGCGGCGACGACGACGACGACGACGAAGGTGTTGGTGGTCAACGACGCTGACGAAGACGACGACGACGGCGGCTGCTGCGACGACGACGACGCTGACGAAGACGGCTGCGGTTGCGGCGGCGGCGACGACGACGACGGCGGCGGCGGCGTCGACGACGACGACGACGAAGACGGCTGCGTTTGCGGCGGCCGCGACTGCGACGAAGACGAATGCGTCTGCGGCGGGGACGACGACGACGACGGCGGCGGCCGTGGCGACGACGACGACAGTAACGACGACGACGACGAACCACTACGGCGGCGGCGACGACGACGACGACGGCTGTGGTGGCGGCGACGACGACGCTGGCGGCGACGGTGGCGACGACGACGACGACGGGCGATGATGACGGTGACGAAAACGACAACGACGACGACTTGGAAGGCGGTGGCGACGATGACGACGACGGCGGCGGCAGCGACGATGACGACGACGGTGGCTCCCGACGATGACGTCGACGACGAAGGACGACGATGACGGCCGCGGTTATGACGACGACGAAGACGACGACGGTGACGACGACGACGGCAGCGGACGACGACGACAAACGACGACGACGACGACGGCGACGACGACGACGACGACCAGGGCGGGTGCGGCGACTTCGACGAGGACGAACGATGGCGGCGACGGCTGTGGCGGCGACGACGAAGACGGCGACGGCGGCGGTGACGGCCACGACGACGACTGTGACGGCGACCGGCGACAACGGTGACGACGACGACGACAACGACTACAATGACGACGACGACGTCGGTGGCGGCGGTGATGACGGCGACGACGACAAAGACGGCTGCGGTTGCGGCGGCGGCGGCTATGATGACGACGGCGTCGACCGACGATGACGACGACGACGACAAACGACGACGACGACGGCGGCGACCACGACGGCGACGGCGGCGACGACGACGGTGACGCCGACGACGACGACGACGGCGACGGCGGCGGCGTCGACGACGACGACGACGGCGACCAGCGACGACGACGACTGTGACGGCGACCGCGAAGACGACGACGGCGGCGGCGGCGACGACGCCGACGACGCTGACGAAGACGGCTGCGGTTGCGGCGGAGACGACGACGAGGGCGGCGGCGGCGGCGACGACGACGACGAAGACGGCTGCGGATGCGGCGGCGACCACGACGACGACAACCGACGACGACCACGACGAACGACGACGACGACGGCGGCGGCGGCGACGACGACGACGCTGGCGGCGGTGGCGGCGTCGACGACGACTACGCGGGCGGCGACGGCGACGACGACGACGACGACGACGACGAACGCCGACGACGGCGACGGATGCGGCGTCGACGACGACGACGGCGACAGCGGCGGCGGCGACGACGACGACGACGGCGACCGACGACGACGACGATGACGACGGCGGCGGCGACGACGACGACGGCGGCGGCGACGATGACGACGACGGCGGCGACCGACGATGACGGCGACGACGACGACGACCGCGGTGGTGACGACGACGACGACGACGTTGACGGCGACAACGACTGCGGCGGACGACGACGGCGACGACAACGACGACGACGGCGGCGACCTTGACGACGACGACGAGGGCGGCGGCGGCGACGACGACGACGACGAAGACGGCTGCGGCTGCGGCGGCGACGACGACGACGACGGCGTCGACGACGACGACGAAGACGGCTGCGGTTGCGGCGAGACGACGACGACGAGGACGGCGGCGGATCCGATGACGATAACAACGACGACGACGACGACGAACGACGACGACGACGACGACGACGGCGGCGACGGCGACGACGACGGCGGCGGTGGCGGCGACGACGATGACGCCGGCTGCGACGGCGGCGACGACGAACGACGACGACGACAACGACGGCGGCGACGGCGACAATGACTACGACGACGGCGGCGCCGACGACGGCGACGACGGCGGCGACCGACGACGACGACGACGATGACGACGAGCCACGACGGGCGCGGCGACGACGACGAAGACAACGGCGGCGGCCGCGGCAACGACGACGACGACAAGAACGGCGTCGACGACGACGACGACGACGGACAACGACGACGACGAACGAGGACGATGACGACGACGACGGCGGCGGCATCGGCGACGATGCCGACGTCGACGACGGCTGCGGCGACGACGACGACGGCGGCGTCGGCGGCGATGACGACGACGGCGGCGGTTGCGTTGACGACGACGACGACGGCGGCGGCGACCAGCGACGACGACGACTGTGACGGCGACCGCGACGACGGCGACCGACGACGACGACGGCGACGGGCTTCTCAGCCGGCAGGCGGGCCTCGCAGGCGGCATGGCGCCTTTTTTGGGAGGTGTTTCCCTCGCGCTTCAGCGTAATCTTTCCGCTCTGCCGCAGGTATTCCGGAGACTCGTTCGACGCCGTCGCTTCGATCCACGCCGCCCTGCCCCAGCTCCAGCTGCTGGCGAGCGAGGCGACCTATGAACGCTACCGCTGGAAAGCGGGCGCCACGCTCGAAACCGGGGAGTGGAGCATGGGCGAGGGATATGCGCACGACATCATAGGCGACCTCAACGCTGGGAGCGTCGGCTGGATCGACTGGAACCTGCTGCTGGATGAGAACGGCGGCCCCAACCACGTCGACAACGTGTGCGACGCGGCGATGATGGCCAACCTGTCGAAAGGGGACGTCTACCGCCACCCGCAGTATTACTACATCGGCCATTTTTCTAAGTTTATGCATCTGGGGCCCAGACAACTAGACAAGGACGGCCTGTCTCGGACGTCTGCGGACGGTTCCCTCGTCCGCGCTGCACCCCCCGTCGGCGTCGACAAGGAGGGGGCCTGGTGCCGGCGGCGAAGCCTTCCGCGGACGTCCGAAGTCCAGATCGTCCACAGGGGCGCGAAGATGCTCGCGCTTCCCGCGCCGCGGCCAGGGCGGGAGATCCGGCCTCCCCCAGGGCGGCGGCTTGCGGTGGCGCGAGGAGATGACCACGCGTGGCGCAAGCGCGGGGGTGCCGCGCGCGCGTAGTTTTGGGTGACCTTGGAAGTGGTCTGGGGTCAGGGGGAGGAAAACGAAGAGGAGGGGCAGGAGGAGGGGGAGGAGCAGGAGGAGGAAGACGAACAGGAGGAGGAGGACGAGGAGGAGGAGGAGGAGGAGGACGAGGAGGAGGAGGAGGAGGATGAGGAGGGGGAGGTGGAGGGGGAGGAGGAGGAGGAGGAGGAGGAGGAGGAGGAGGAGGAGGAGGAGGAGGAGGAGGAGGAGGGGAAGGAGGAGGAGGAGGAGGAGGAGGAGGCGGTGGAGGAGGAGGAGGAGGAGGAAGATTATCAGGATTTCCGCTATCGCAGGTGCGATACTGAGTGAGGTGACTATTCCCCTCCTGACTTGCCAGCCCCATGGCCAGCCTTGGGGTGGAACCCGCGAATGAACCTGTCGAGGTGCTCGCGACGCGTCTTGGTCAAAGGTTGGACTTCGCACGGCTTTCCCAGACCACGGAGCTGGTCCTGTGCAAAGAAGCCGCAATCTTTACACATCCATACCTTGTGAACCGTACCAAAGATCAAATGATGCGTGGGGTGAGCTCAACCTCTAGCGATGTGTAAAACCGTCCTCGGGGGAGTTTGAAATTCTTACCGTCAACGGCCTCGAGGGGTTTACATTCACTTTTAAGCCAGGCGCGCTCACCAACGATGGTGCTAGAAGATTTGCTGACCTCACAGGCCCGCCCGCCCTCTGTCAGGACGTGCGTGGACGCGAAGCGCGCGAGAGCAGCGGGCCTGGGACGAGGCACGGAGGCACGCTACCCTCCTCGACAGCCCTACGCTCGCTCGCCTTCCTCTCGCAATCAGCGTGCGATGTGAGCAGTGCAACACGAAGAAGGCGCCTCCTCACAAGTCTGGCCTCCTGCTCGACCTTGGCCACACGAGATCGCTGACCTTCGTCGAGCCTGGCAGAGGTGGCCGCGCACTCGGCCAGACCATCGACCACCTCGTTGTCCTGAATTTGCCAACTAGAAATTCCTCTGGAGAAGGCCTCCTGTGGACTGAGGTGGGAGGGAACCTGGAGGACAATAGCGTCGGCGACTGACCTACCCTGGAGTCAACAGCTCGCCTATATCTCTCCAGATGTCAGCGTTCGGGCCCCCGGACCGCTGATACACTGACTGCTACCAGCCCCTGCAAACTTCATCATTGTCTTAAACGTAAATCACAACACCTGCTGAGTGACGAATGACCGTCGCTAAGCACTGCAATCGACCGCGTGGGGCCGTCTGCTGAGCCTTAGTGCCCCAGAGCGGTCCCATCAAATACGGTCCTAGAGTGGGGGATGAGAAGGTCGTGAGGACTACAATGCCCATGCCAATCCTCCTGAGCCGAGGGTCGCGTGTGTCGGGTCCGCCAGACGCGTCCCCAAAGTGATCAGAGGCGCATCGCGCGTGCCATGACCGGGGAAAGGCCCTTCGAGAGCCCCCGAAATGTTGCCGAAACTCCAAGCTGGATTCTCCGGGGGAGCCGAGACGGACGTCCAAACTGCGGGGATGATGCTTCGCACCCAAAAACATGGAAACATGTGCTGGTCAGCTATGGCCCTCGGCACTAAGAAGTCGGACTCCTCGATCGCCTTGCCTCCCCCATTGCAGCTGCACGGACCGACTCCATCATGACATCGAAGACATTTGCTGGAGTCGGTCATGCCTGCTTCAAATTTGCGCTCCTGATGCCACGTGCCACCGACCGCAATGGCCAGCATCAGCTCAGATAACTGCATGCCTTTGTAACCATCCAAGAGACTGTGCAGAAAGTGACGATAGCTATCTAGCCATGTCGGCGTCCTCCTCCAGTCCTCCTCCGGCCGCACTACGCCACAACCGTCGGCTGATCGAGGCCTCGAACTCGTCCAAGAGGGGCGCTACTTGATCCAATCCAGTGATGGCCGCTGAGGAAAAGTTCCACGCGTGCCTGTCAACTGAACTGTCATTTGTGGTGTCCCATTCGGCAGCTGAGTTCGGACTCCAACCCGCCTGTAGTAAGTAAGCGATGACAGCAGAAATCGGACCACGAATGTGTCGTGACCTGTGCTGCTCGGGAAGACCAGCCAACTGTTGGGCGGTGGGTGCCCATGCACGCTGGATGCCTGCACGTAAGGATGGCTCTGAAATCCACACCTGCAAGCACTGTGTAAGACACTGGCGCGGCAGAACCAGACCTGGTTCCGTATCGGGTAGCCGCGAGGAAAGAAGCGAAGTCGGACATCGTCCCGTTTTGGCTGAACTCGCCACTGCTGCCAGGAGGAGGAGGAGGGGAGAAGGAGGAGGAGGAGGAGGAGGGGGAGGAGGAGGAGGAGGAGGAGGAGGAGGAGGAGGAGGAGGAGGAGGAGGAGGACGACATGGAGTGTGTCTGTGTCGTTTTCTGGCCCCCTGCCATCCGGACTCCGTGCGGCTGGTGACGACAGTGGGGCCCACGCCCAGCTACAACGGGACCAGTCGGCCGTACGGCACCTGCACCGGCGAGGACGGACTGGAGGCTACGTCCTTCCGCCGCCCAGACGGTCGCGTCTCCACCGTGGTGCTCAACTGCGGTTATCGAAGAAGAGAAAACGTCATAAACATCATACTTGTGGAGCCCCGCGCGGATTTCTTGCATTTGCACCAGACCCCCCTTCCTGGCGCGCGGGGCGCGCCAAGAGCGGCGCCGGAGGCACCGCCAATGGGGCCCGGCGCGGATGCAAGGACTCCGCGCGGAGCTCTAAAAGTTTTTTCAGATGAGGTTTTTTCATCCTCCAGGCGAGGGCGCCATCGACTTCAAGCTCCTCCACGGCGGACGGGCGGCCTCGACGTCCATACCTCCGCACTCGATCCAGACGTACGTGTTTGAGGGCGGCAGTGTTGCCGCTCCATCGCGCGCGGACGATGCTGCTCCGTCCGTCGGCGGTAGCCGTGGCGGTTGGGCCGCGATGTCGCCTGCTCTCAGGGCGTCTTTTTAGAGCCATCTGGCAGAGCTGGCAGGCTTCCACACAGAAGGGTCGACCCTTGAAGTTTCTGTCGTGATGCCGCCTGCTCCCAGGCGTTTCTGTAGAACCATCGTAGAGAGCTTGTGGGGTTCAGCACGAGGGTGATGACCCCAGCATCGATCCAAGTTTTGGATTGCAAGCACAATAATCAAGTGCGAGAGGTTCCCCTCCGATTCTGTGCTGGTGCGGCTGCTCACGAGATCGCCCTGCACGATAGCGGGGGTGAGCAGCAGGAGGCGTAGGAGGCTTCGCAGGCCCCTCGACGACCTCTTCCTCCTCCTTCCCCTGCCTCGTGCTCCTCTACCTCCTGCCCTTTGTGGGCCCCAGAAACGGCAGGGCCGTTTTGTACCGTTTCCAAAAAATGTCCCTTGAAAATGGAAACGGCAAAAAACGGCGACCGGAAACGGCCAAAAAACGGCTAAAGGATTGGAACCGGAGCCGGAACCGGTCAAACAACGGCGACGGAACCGGTAAACAAACGGCGTCGGAACCGGCAAAAAAACAGCAAAACGGAACCGGTAAAAAAAGGGCCCTGTCGTTTCCAGGGCCCACTAAGCTCCTGCCTTTCCTGAGGACGGGGTCGAGCCTCTCCGCGTAGTGGCGGTGAGGGGGTCCCACCAGCCCGCGCCGCCCTTCCCTCCTGTTCGTCCAGCCGCCATCGTCTCCGCCGCTGCGGCCGCCGCCGCCGCGGCCGCAGCCGCCGCAGCCGTGGCTCTCGCCGCAACTCGCAGGCGTTTTCTCTCCCCTCAATCCCTGAGTGCCGCACGAAAAGTTTGGCCGCTCAGCGAGAAGGGGGAAGCCTTGGGATACACCCCCAGGGAGCCGTTCGGAGACGCCCCTATCGAGGAGGGGCGCCCGCCCATCGTATGTCCCAGGGTGGGGCTTCAAATTTGGGGTCCATTCGAAAACCTCACGAAGTCTGGGATACGGTCGGGCCGAGGTATAAGATCGAGGTCGGTTCGAGGAGGGTACCCTAATGTCCTTCGTGTTTGTTTGATGTTCTTGTTCATCCTGTGGACGTGCACCTGGATGTTCTGTATGTTTTTGCTGGTGGAGGGTCTCATGTTCTTGAAGGATGTTCTTCTGTCCTCGGTCCAGCTGCAGGGATCGACATATCCCCTGCCGTTCAGACGTTCCCTCCAGGAAGAAACTGCTTGCATTGATTCTTCGCTTGCGGAAGTGACTCGTGCACGTCGCACACACGTGGTAATCTGTGCAACAAGACCTCCCCCGTCCACAATGGCTCCCCCATCTACAATGCGCGCGGGGTAGGGGTAGGGATAGGGATCGACATCTTCCCTGCTAGCCACCCTCGTCTGCCGCCCTCGCCGCCATCCCTTCACCAGTTGCCCGCCGCCCCCAAACATCCCAACTTCTGCCTCCAAGGGTCCTGCGTCCTTGCCACCCGTCCTTCATTCACGTTTTGAGTGTACTCCCTGTTGGCCACCGTCGCCCGCCGCCCTCGCCGCCGCTCCCGCCGCCGCCGCCGTCGTCCTCTCGCTGCGCTCTCCCGTCGTCGCCGTCCGCCGTCCGCCCGCCGCCGCCGCCGTCGCCGTCGCCCTCTCGCTAAAAAGTCTGGGCGGGGGCCTCGGAGAGCGAGCCGCGTGGAGGGGGAAGGGGGGGAGGGGGAGGAGGAGGGGGAGGAGAAACTTCACTACACTGTGCACAGGCTCCACAGAAGCTCTGACTCTCCAGACCACGCAGGCCATCCAAGCAGTGTCGCAGTGGCTCACCTCCTGTCACAGCTACGGGGACATCATGAGACACGACTGGCCAGTGCGCATTCACGACACAGCTACGCTCCTGCAGCAGATCTGCAACCCTACATCATCACACAGCCCACACCAATACCAACGTCGCGCACTCATCTACACCAGCTCAAGTGACGACGCAAATCCCCCGACAGACGTTATACACGCCCGACCATACCAGTACCCACGCCACTACCAGCAGCTACGACTCAACAGCCACAGCGTCGCGCACCGACTCATAACCACTCCACAGACTCCGAAGCGACAACA